GTCGTGTTGTTACATAAATGCTACAACTGGTACAGACCCAGCTAAATCTCCCAGTGGTTCTGCCACAGAAGCAATTCATTTTTGGCTTGTTTGCTTCTGATGTCGAGGCACGTGTGTGTACAACTTGACTGTGCTCACGCTGCAGAAGCTCTGGAGATGCTGAAATAATCTGTCATCGGCAATCTCGTATCTCTGAAAGCACGACGTTACTCATTTACAATTCCTTGAAGGGTATCTTATCTATCTCTCCCCTATCAGAAAAACTCAAGGGCTGCTTCCTTATCCCTCTTTCACTGTAAAAAGGAAACTCAACCAAGAAAGCGTTAGCACATCCGCCACAAATGTGACCTTTTTTCTAAATAAAACTTGAGCTGAGTCAGGGTAACATCATTCTTTTTAACTGAATCCAAATACCAAGTTGCAAATGAGAGCAGCAGCTCAACAACTGCCCGTTGCAAAGGCTCGCTGTCCCAGTGCAATACTGCAGAGAGGCAGAACTGCTCTAAAAGAGGTACAGAAATGTTCCAGAGCAAAATGCCAACGTTTTGGAGAGATGCTCAATTCCCAGCGTTTGTTCGCAGAGGCTGTGTCTGCCTTCAGCCATATTCTGTTAACGTGAAAGAGTTCTAGTATTCGCTTCCTTTTGGGAAGAGAAGCCAAAGAAGCCAAGGCATACTGAATGTTACTTTGCTATTTTGTGGTCTGTGTGTCTCATTTTATCAAATTATTGCCAACATTTTACTTGTTTAAAAGGACTATGTGTTGCTTTCACTGTTAAGGCTCACTGCCTCTTGCCTTTTCTGTCACCCAGTGTAGAGCGATGAGCAAGACTTGAGCTTTACGTCTGGGGAGAGAGTAACGGCAGCACATACTTGGTGATTTGGTAAGAAGGGGAGGGAGGAGATGTCAGTGCTCACTTTTAAAGTCTGCTTCACAGTGGAAGTAATGCTTGCAGTGTAAAACTTGGGTGCAAAAATTAATCACTTGGCATAATTCTTCGGTGTAGAACTAAACCAAAGGTTAAGCTTCCTGCACTTCGTTTTACAAACTGCGTGGATTAAACCAAATTCATTAGAAATGTGGTCACGTGTATTCATAGTAAAAGCTGTAGTTTGTGTCTGAAGTCATGAATTATATACAAGGACTGAGGTAATTTTTATTCTCCACTGCTAATTCACGATAAACTGAAATTCTGACTTCTCTTTGTTATATTAAACTGACCTTAAAAAAAGAAAAAATACAAAAATATGCCTGTTGAAGAAGCTCCTCAACTTTCTTCACTTTACAACACAGCCGGAGTTTTCCTTGAAGTCACTTGGTGAGGAAAAATTGGGTGTGTTTTCCAGGCCTCATTTATTTCTTTGCAATGTTGTTGCTAAAGGACAGGTATGCAACATGAAAAACTCTTCTTCCATATTTAGGATTTAAGACTCAAATTTAGGTCAGTATTCAGAGTTTAAGTCAATGCCGCTGCCTCGTATGAACCCTTTGCTCGGCTGAGACAGAATACAGGGGCAGAGTTAATGTTCCTTTGTGCTCTGGGAGTATTCCTGTGTGTAGAGTTTTAAAACTGGTGATTAAAATAGTTTGTTTATAGCAAAAGCGGCATTGTTTAGGATTGAAATTACTGAGATTTTACTTTATTCCTCTCCCCCTCCTTTAATTAACCAGCAAGACATGATGACTAATTTCCACCCTTCCTGCAAGTGGCCTGGGACGATTACTTGAAGCAGCTAGGAAGTGCCCTGCCACTGAGTGTCATTTCGCTAGTAGTAAATTGAACTTAGACCCGCGTGCTTGAAGGCAGAGGTGCACGATCGGACCAGCAGATCAAGCTGCGTGTCTTAAGGATGAAGCCAGTTGATAAAAGTAAATGCTTGAGTCACGTGCTGTTGTCAGTGCTCTGGTGGAACCAGCCCCTCTTTGCTGCACGTGCTGTGCTCTGGGTAAATAACTACGGAGCAGCCTGACGGGTGGCTGCACCAGCCTGCTGGTAGTACTCGTACCACACCTCGGTCGACATTCAGGTGTTGTCTTTACTAACCAGCTGCAGTTACATGGGGAGCTGCTTTTCAGAGAACAGCCACGATCTAGGGAATTGTTAGTCCTGTAGCTGAGACACAGGTTTGCGAAGAGACATGGTGGGGGGGGCATCCTCAGGAGGAGTCTCACCGAGGATGAGCCTCCTGCTTCTCTTCAGGCAGCCTAATGTTGGGCATCTGAGTAGATGGTGAAATTTTTCTTCCTGGTACTTGGGCTTGATTTTTTTTGTTCTGTTGTGTCGCTGTTTAACCATCACTGGGCTCTCCCTGACCTGGGCACTGCGCTTTGCTCTGGAGTGGTGCTCCTGGGCTTGCCTGCTCTGTTGCTCTGACC